CTACTGCGATCTGCACCTCCAGCGTGGCGCATACGGAAGACATGGCTTTCAGCGCTTGTCGTTCGTTTGGGGCGCGATTGGTGTTTCTGCCAACCGAACTCATAGCGAATTAACTAATACCCCTCTCTGCCCTCTTGGCCTTGCTCGTCTCTGTAAGCGGGCACCCGCTGTCCAGCTGACCCCGCCACTCCCGCAATGCCTGTCCGTGTTCGTGACCATTCCACGGGCCAGATCGTGATCCAAATGTTGGTTGGTCGGTTTCGCAGACGGTCCACGCAGAACCCCCATCCCGTTTCGCAATCAACATCCTGAGACTTCAAACCAGCATATTATGGCAGTACCGCAGCACTCGCAGAAGGCCTTCGTTCAACTCGATTGGATCGTCATGGCCCGGCGCCGCGACAGTTTAAGTTACAAATCATTCACGTGTAACTACGCAGGAAAACATCAGCAACCACCGTCGCACTGGCCACCACTCCGTTAAATGGAAGCTGGCATTCCTCATCCTTCCCCGCCTACTACCCCTCTTTGTGTAGTTTTTTTTCTCGTGCGGAGTGGAAGCTGCTTTGAGTTGTCTGAAAGATCACGTCTGACGGGCTGCACCCCGCCTTTAGCTTGTCTGTCCCTCCACGATCCTTTCTTTTGGGCCAGTTGCCTCTTTTCCCATTCCTCCTGCCAGGTGTTCGGACGTGGTCGGAGGAGACTCCCTCATATTCGCCCTGGACCTGATGGGCACCGTGAGCTTCTGGCGGGTGCTTGAGCCGGTCCTGGGGGGGGGGGTCGGGCGTAAACCGCCACAGCCGGTGCCGTGTGACACGTTGCGTCTGGGCCCGGCATTTGCGTTTGGGCTTGGCCTCTTCTTCAATATCTTGCCCTTCGTTTGCTTCCTCGTAAGCTGTGTGTTTCCCACGTTTCGGTCGTCGTTGTCTCCCTCCTATTACGCTTTGTCCTCCCCGCGATCTCAGGGTTCCTCGTCCTCTCCCTGCTAAGCTTCCTGTGCCTGTCCCTTGTTGTTACGACCTCTGTGCACCCTGACTCTGGAGCAGGTGCCGTGGCAAACAAAGGCGAGCTGCGCACAAAGCCGCTCAGTTGCCCAGCTGCGCGCAAGGCAGTTTCGCGAACCGTCCTTTCGGACGAGCTCGCGGACGAGGCGTCATTGTCATCGTCGCCGCCGCCGCCGTCGCCGCCGTCGTTGTCATCGTCCCCGTCGCCGCCGTCGCTGCTCGGCGGCCCCGCGGCTTGGTGACCGTCTCGTGGGGCCCGTCGCAGCCCCCGCCTCCGCCGTCGCCGTCGCCGTCGCCGTCGTTGCCGTCTCCGTCGCCGTCGCAGTCGCCGTCTCCGTCGTCGTGTGTCGCCGCTGTCGCCGCCTCCGTTGCTGCCTTCGCCGCAGCCTCCGCCGTTTCGTCGTCGTTGCCGCGGGAGCCTTCGCCGCTCGGCGGCCCCGCGGCCCCGCGGCCACCGCCTCGGGGGCCGGGCCAGGCCCCGGCGGCGGCCGCGCGGGCGCCGAGCGGCGGGCAGGCCTCGGGCACGAGCGTCCCGGTGAAGCTCGCGCTAACGGGCAAGCTGTCCCTCACCGACGGCTCGAACGTGCTAGGCGGGCTGCTGCTGCCTGTTGGAGCCGGCTGGGGGCGTCGGAGGTGGCCCAGCACTGGTGCTGGCAGACTGGAAGGAGGGCGAGTTTCGAGGTGCTGCGTCCAGCAAGGCTTTTTGCTATTGTTGGCCGCCGGTGGCAGTTTTCGGGCCTTGGGACCATCAAGAAAGGATCCGGGGTGGACGCCAGTTGGAGTCCAGGAAAAGCATTTGAGCGGATTCGCTCTCGTCGCACCTCTTGATCGATTTTTTTGGGGCCCCATCCAGTTTAGACACCCCGGCCGCCTCCAAGCAGCTTGCTCGCATCGGGACGATCGATCTGGGTACGGAAGGAAGAGGCACAAAGACCGACAGCCAGTCCTGGCTTTATGATGTTCCAACCTACTTGAGCCTTGTTCACCAGAAAAAAATTCGAGCACCATGCACAAGTACCGAAACTCGATGGTTTTCACGTGACGGGCCATGTGCCGACACTGTTTCGACACTCTTTCGACACGTTTCCGGGTGTTCGAAATTATTTCTGGGATGTGGTCTTTAAGTACGATAGGTGCAACATAATCTTGGTTATTTTGGACAGGGCTCTTTGTCGGTGGCGCCGCGGGCGCTGTCCATTTCAGACAGGAAGGCCGCCTGGCCAACACCGGCCGCTGTCGGTTTCGGACAACACTCGTAGATGGGCATCGGACATATCGTCTCCGTGCCCACTCCGGGCGTCCAAATACCAGTTGCTGCTGATGTTGCTCTTCTATCCTCCTCTCTTCTCACCGCCTGCTATTCTCTTCCTCCTGAGCCATGGGGCGACCTCTCGCGCTGGTGTTACGGTGCTAGGCGGGCGTGCGGGGTGATGCTGGCGTCCCAGACATCCGGCTTTAGCGTGCTAGGCGGGCGGGCGGGCACTACGGACAGATGTTCGGCGGTTTCCGTCGGCTTTGGGAGGTTTCCCAGCCTCGGGAAGCTGGCCTGCAACTGCGGCTCACCGAGATTGGTCCTGGAGTGCCCTCATCATTCCGAACGGCCGCCGGAGACCCGAGTTATGACCAAAAAGCCAGGCCTCGGGCGGGCTGGTGCTGGCGTCCCAGGCATCTGGCGTTTCTCCGCGGTCTTTGCCTCTCCGGTCCGATGATGATGATGATGATGATGATGATGATGATGATGATGATGATGATGATGATGATGATGATGATGATGACGGTGATGATGGTGATGAAAATCAAGATGAAGATGATGATCGTGACGATGGTGCCGACGATGATGGTGTTGATGATACTGGTGATGAAGATGCTGATGCTGATGATGATTGTGATAAGGATGATGATGATGACGACGATGCTGATGATGATGATGATGATGATGGTGGTGATGGTGATGGTGATGGTGATGATGGTCATGATAGTGATCATGTTGGTGATGTTTGTGATGGTGATGGTGATAGTGGTTGTTGTGATGGTGATGGTGATGGTGATAGTGATTATGTAAGGAGAATGATGGGGGAGGGGGAAGAGGAGGAGCAGGAGCAAGGGTTCCGCGCGAGCCCGTCAGGTGGCCGAGGCGAAAGAAGAAGGATAATCGAGGGAGGATATGGGGTCGGGGGCGGGGCGGCTGCACGGCTGGTTAGTGGAGGGCGGAGGTTGGACTAAGAGGAGGACGAGGAGGAGCAAGGGCGTTGACGAGGAGGATGGCGAGGGCGAGGACAAGGAGGATGGGGCGAGGATAATGGCCAGGATGATGAGAAGGGGGAGGAGGACTAGACGGAGGACGAGGAGGCGGACGAGGAGGAGAACGATAAGAATTAAGGGCGAGGGGGATGAGGAGGAGGAGGAGGAGGAGGAGGATTAGGAAGAAAGGGGAATATGAACGGGTGAGGTGGCGGATGGGGGTGCGACAACATTGGTGGCCAAGTTCGATGCCGACGATGATGGCGATGACCACGATCATCGTGGTGGCGAGAACAACGTGAAACGACCAATGCGAAACAAGGAGGGGCGGGGAGGAGAAGCAGGCGGAGGAGGAGGAGGATGAGGAGGAGGTGGTTGGGGTGGTGGTGTGTGTGGGGGGGGGGCATGACTCATGACGACAGTGACGGCGATCATCAGGCTTGTGGTGGTGGCGGCGAACGGTCATTAGATCTGCCGTTTCTTTAGATAAGGCGGAGTGCGGAAATCAAAAGGAGCAGGAAGGAGGATGATGATGATGATGATGATGATGAGGAGGAGGAGGAGGAGGAGGAGGAGGAGGTCCGTAGCCATTTTGGCTCAAGGCCACTGCCCGAAGCCACCCTCTCTCGTTCGCGAGGGTGTACTCGGTTAGGGCCCAAGTCTGCCCGCAGGAGGGCGCCATTTTCTCGGTCGGAGGCCGAGAGCACTTCCACATTCGTTCTCCCGTCCGCCAGCCCTGCTGGCCCTGCAATGAGCGGTGCTGCCTCTGCCGTTTCGCTCGATGGCCTCGCTCAGGAGTGGGAACTCGCGAGCACTTTCCCCACGCAGGAGGCTGCCGCCGTCGCCGCTGCTGAAGATGCCGCGAAACGGCAACGCATCGCACACGCTGTTGCCCCCGAAGATGCTGCTAGCCTCAAGGAGTACGTGGACACCACCAAGAAGAGCTTGCTCGCTGCTCTGGCCAACATCCAGAACTCGGTGGCCACGCTCACGAACACAGTCACAAGCAGCTGGAATGACATCGACAAGAGAATCGAGGCGCGGCTCAACAGCGTGGAATGCCGCCAGTCTGCCCAAGAAGCCCGCATCGACGTTCTCGAAGGCCAGATCCGCTCGCTCACGGAGACCCTCGGCGACATCAAGGCCGCTCGCCCCGCTCCTCCTGCTGCTGCTCCTGGCTTCAATCGTAATACCGACCCGACCATCCTTCTGCTTCGCACCAAGCTATCCTGCGCCAAAGCTGGAGTTCTTGCGGCGCTCGCCGATTGGCTCGGCCGTGCCCAGCTCAACGAGTCTGACTTCTCAGTGGAAGGAGAACCGGTCTCCAACAGATTCATCCTACGGATCAATGGATCGATCCCCTATGCCTCTCGAAAAGTCCAGCAGGCCCTCGGCGCTCTTCGTAGACACGACCAGACATGGGAGCGCTTCCAGTGCCAGGCCCCCGGCAACTCCATGCAGGAGATATTCATCTCTGGTGACAAGAACGTGGCCCAGGTCAAGAGAGAGCTTGGCCTCAAACGTGTTCGCCGTGAGCTGGAACTACACTACGGACACCTGCGGTGCCAGTGGAAGCCGCTTGTTCTTGTGGAACCACAGGCGGGAGAAGCACCGCCCAAACTCTCGTTCTGCCTCGCCAACCTCAACGCTCTCGGGATTGACAAGTCCAAGATCCTTGATGGCGTCATGGCTGGCTTCAAGTCCGCAAGCGAGACGACGTGGAGTGTTTAGCCCGCTGCTGGCGCAGTGGACTGACTCGCACGGCTCCCCGACCCCTCTCTCGCTGGTCACGTGGAACGCCCAGGCGCTGTTCCACTACAAGGCCAACATCCGCTCCAGGAAGCTCGCTCTCGCGCGCTCGCTGTGGAAGACAGGACCGATCATCTCAATCCAGGACACCCGCGGCACGATGACTGAGTTGCGGGACTTCGCCTACTTCTCCAACTCCGCCTTCTCCTTCGCCTCTTCGTTCTGCCCTAACATCCGAGCAGGAGGAGTCGTTACCCTGTGTCCCTTGTTTCGAACATCTTCCGATTCGGCCTCATCTAGTTCAAAAGAATGTCCTGGTTCCAGGACGAGTGTTGGAGCTCTTCTTCGTTTTCTCCGAGGTCATCTGGGCATCACATTTTAATGTTCACCTCCATGGGCTTTCGGTGGGAGAACGGCACCTCGTTGCTCAGGCTCTTCGGGCTCGTCTTGCGGATGCCGCCTCTTCGCCCGTTACTAGGCTGGTTATCGTGTCTGGAGATTCGAATCTGGCCGACTCGCCCCCGCGCTCGCTGGACGCAGACCCTTCCATTGACCCGCTAGATACCCTTCGAGATTGGCGCGCTTCCAGGGACGCGATTTTGAGCCCAGTTTTCAGCTCCATGACGGAAATCGAAACCCCAGACCCCGCCCACTACAACCGCGCGTTGGGAACCCTGAACACCATTGATCGGATCTTCGTGAGCTTTCCTGGGTGGGTCTGCAACCATCTGTTTACTAGCGGCCAGGTCAGTAAGACCCCAGAGGTCCTCCACGCCCAGGGCCTCTCAGACCACGCGCCGCTCGTGGTCAGCCTCGCCGGTAGTCCTCCGATCCCGTCTGGCGAACGCCCCATCCCGAAACAGGTTTCCTCCAGCCCGAGTACAAGGAATACCTCAATTCTGTGAGGGCCCTGGGAGATACTTGCCACCTCTCCCCGCCTTTTCTCCTCCAGTACCAGGCGAGGATCATGAGGGAGGCTGCGCCTGTTGCTAGGAACGCCATGATTGCGAAGCGCCCCGAGTCGATAGATACCAAGCTTTTGATTGTCAAGAGCATCCGTCGAGCGGTTTGGAGACAGGCTATCATATTATCAGAACGATTCAGAGCGTCACACTTCCTGTCCCGTCAGTACTTGGACATTGACGTCCTCGCCCGCACCGTGACCCTCCTGCACGTTTTTGAATTCTTGCAGGTCTCTTCCGAGCTCCACAGAAGTATCTCTGAACGCGAGCAGGCTGGGATCAGGGCCAGCCTGGCGAGGGTGCACTCAGAGAACCAGAAGCGGAAGCTCCAGAGAAGACTCCGCGCTGTGGTTCAGCGCAGTCGCTTATGGAGTCCGTTTGACCGCCGAGTTTCGCTCCGTGGCGCGCGCTATGGGGATGGTATCTGCACGGAGCCGGGGAAAATGATGGATGTACTATCTCAGCAGTGGTCCTCCGTATTTTCGAAAAAGCAGATCGACTCCAAGAGCGCCCAGAGGTACCTCGACCGTTTCGGCGTCTCCCCTGACCTGCTGAATTTGCCCCCTCCTTCCCCTCGCTCCGTGGGGAAATGCATCCAGGGCCTCGAGCACTCGGCCCCTGGCCCCGACGGGCTCCCGTTCGCAGCATGGCAGGGGCACCCTGAAGGCTCTCTTATACTCGACAAAATGACGCGGTGGATTCTCAACGGCAACCCCCCCCCCCCATGGCCTCCTTCAGTGACCTCCGCAAGGTGTTCATTCCCAAAGGCTCCGAGGCCTCCGACGAAGTCGCCATGCATCGGGGCCCCAACCAGACTCGCCCCCTTGGTCTCAAAAACGCCTCGAACAAGATCATCGCGGGAATCGTGTGCCGCGAACTCAGCAAAACTCTGGATACTTTCATTACCCCGATACAGCGCGGTTCCGTGGGCGGTCGGAACTTCGGGGCCAACATACTCGAGCTAGATACATAGTCCAGGGTGTACGGCATACATGTCGCGGGCCCTAATGTAGCCATCTCGCACAAGCCTGTTCTCGTCAGTTTCGATTACGGCCAGGCCTTCCCGTCGATTGCGCATGAATGGCTGCTAATGTGCCTTCGACGTCTTCGCATCCCCTCCCCGCTCCTCTTCTTCCTCGAGAGCCTCTACAGTGCTGTCCGATGCTTCGCGTGCACCAACAACGCGCTCCGCTTCGCCTTCAAGATTGAGAGTGGCATCACCCAAGGCTGTCCCGCATCAGGCATGATCTACGCCATTGCTTCGAATCCCTTCCTGTCCGACATCGACACCTCTCTTCGTGCTCGCTCGCGGCCTGGTGCGGGTCATCGCCTGGTTCCCCGCGAGAAAGGCATCGCTCGGGCATGTGCTGATGACGTGGGCGCCGCGCTTCGTCAACTCGCCGATCTCCGTATTCTGAAGCGGCCACTTGACCTGAGTCTCCGCCTCGCAGGTCTCACCTTGATGCCTTCCAAATGTTTCATTACCCCCCTGGGAAGCGAGTTCTCACAAGAACTCAGCGAAACGATCGCGGCCTGGCTGCGTGAGCAGGTTCCAGAGTGGGCCGCGTTCCAGGTTGTGCCGTTTTTGACTTACCTCGGTTTGGTGCTCGGTCCTGGGGCCGGAAATGAAAGCTGGACTGGACCCACTCGGAAATGGTTTGCCCGAGGCTGCGCCATTGCGCGTGCCAGACCTCCAACTGCTGTCACGCAGTATCTTTATAACGAAAGAGCTGTGCCCACGATCGGGCATGTAGCTCAGTTCATTCCCCTTCCCTCGTCGGACCTCGTTCGGTTGACTCGTTCGGAGCACGCCCTCTTCGCCTCTCTCTTTCGTGTGCCTCACTGCTCCTTTTCCCGCGCTGGCTGGTTCGCCCTTTCCTCCTGGGGCGGACCCTCTGTGAACAGTATTGTTGTTCTTTCCTTAGCCTCCCTGATGCGGACTGCTCTGGTGACGCTCCCAGAACGGGAACCGCTTTTTCAGTTTCTCCGCGGGACGGCTCTCGATCACCTTCCCTGCAGGAGATCGGAGAAGGAAAACTCAGCCCGTCTTGGTGGAAATCCCCTCCTCTGGTGCAAAATCTCGCCCAGGCCGCTGCGGGCTTCTCGGGCCACGCCCAATGGGCGCAAGCTGGCTCTCTTGCCTTGCAGTCTGCCCTCGCGTGTCTCAACCATCCGAGCCCTAGCAATTCGGAGCCCAGACCGCCGAAACCGAAAGTCCAGCGTGTGATTTCTGCCTCTTTGCAGTGCTCTCTGTTTCCTGACCCCCTCCCCTCGACGTTCACCTCTCGCCTCCTGGGCTGGTTTCCCGACCGTCGGGGCGAGATCCAAAGTATCAACTGGACTAAGGTGAAGGCGTGTCTCGCTGCTCTCCCAATAGGCTTCAGCTCGGCAGTGCTCAAAACTATAGCAGGTGCGCGGGTGACATCAGCTCGTATGCGCGACAATTCCCAGCGAGGATGCATGATGGGATGTGGCGGCCCCGACACGTTCCTGCACTACTGGGCATTCTGCCCTGTTTTCCCGTATTTGCTTGCTCTCATCATCCAGCCGCTTCCGTTCCTCGATTCTCCCATTGCTCGCCTCGGCTTGCGCTCCCCCTGTCGCTCTGATTTCGAGCCCGCTGCTGCTGATCTTCTTCTCTTCAATGCCGCCGCCGCCTCTCGTGCCTCTCAAGCCGATGCATCCCTGCCCCTCGCTGGCTGTCACATCTTTGAATTACAGCCTGCTGTGCGATCCGCACTAGCGAGGCTCCGCGTCGCGGGCGCGGGCGCGGGCTCGGAGCAATCGAATTGGCGCGCCTCGGCGACGCGCCAAGGAGGAGGAGGAGGAGGAGGAGGAGGAGGAGGAGGAGGAGGAGGAGGAGGAGGAGGAGGAGGAGGAGGAGGAGGAGGAGGAGGAGGAGGAGGAGGAGAGGAGGAGGAGGAGGGGGGGGGCAGAGGGGGGGTGGTGGAGGAGGAGGGAGAGGAGGGAAAGGAGAAGCGAGTAGGAGGGGGAGTAGGAGGAGAAGGAGAGGAGGAGGAGGAGGAGGAGGAGGAGGAGGAACGAGGAGGAGGAGGAGGAGCGATGAGGAGGGGAGGAGCGAGGAGGAGGAGGGAGGAGGAGGAGGAGGAGGGGGAGGGGGAGGAGGGGGAGGAGGAGGAGGGGGGGGGGGAGGAGGAGGAGGAGGGGGAGGCGGCGGAGGAGGAGGAGGAGGAGGGAGGAGGAGTGAGGAGGGGAGGGGAGGAGGGAGGAGGAGGAGGAGGAGGGGGAGGAGGAGGAGGAGGAGGAGGAGGAGGAGGAGGAGGAGGGAGGGGGAGCGAGGAGGAGGAGGAAAGAGGAGGAGGAGGAGGGGGAGCGAGCAGGAGGAGGAGGAGGAGCGAGGAGGAGGAGGAGGAGGAGGGGGAGTTCGAGGAGGAGGATGAGGGTTCAAGAATGGCAGGCTTGGATGTGGTGGAGGGGAAGGATGGCGCGGTCTCTGCTGACGCAACCAGCCTATAGTGTGGAGCCCCGCGCCCCCTGCCCGCGGGCAGGTGTCAAAAGCAAGGTCTACACCCGTAGTCTTAAGTCTAGACTAAGATAGCCAGGGGAACATCCAACAATAGTTTTCAAACAGTCAGGGGGCGATTTTTTAACACACATTTTGACCACTCTAGGGAATCTGCTTTAACTATTTCTATTTGTTCGTCCAATCTCCGCCTGTACAGGGGACCGGCCCGACCTAATTCGACATCCGCCGCAGTGGCGGGGCAAGAGCGCGCAATGAGCTCGGTTCCGCCACCAAAAGACCCTCACGCAACAACAGTCGCGTGAAAGCGAGGAGGATGCATTCTGATTCTCGCGATGTCCACACGCGCCACACAGGGCGCTAGTTCAAGGACTCCTGTCTGCGGGACTGGGTGACATCAACAGCCTTTGGGGGGGTCCTGCCTCCTCATTTCTTCTGCTTACACTCGGGGCGTTGGAGAAGGAACCCTTGGCGTTGGGGAGGGGTTCCGTGTTCCTCAATTGTTTGGCAGTTTGCCTTGGGATGCCCTTTGGTTTTCTATGGGAAATCGAAACTTCACTGGTGGAAGACAAGGGGCCTCGTTCCTTATTTAGGGTTCCCTAAGTCAACGCCCCGACTGTACTCCTGCATTCGTCCAAGGATGATGCCGGTGATCCTGACGAGTGTTATGTTGATGGCGTTGGCGATGCGGACGAGCTGTGAGTCCTGACTGAGTGGCCTACTCTAGTTGGTTCAACATGCGGTTCACCCATGTCTGCTCCTTGTCAGTCGGGGCGCTGAAGAAGGAACTCTTTTCGTTGGGGAGGGGCTCGTTGTCCCTTGATTGTTCTACAGTCTGCCTTGGGTTTTCCTGAGGTGATCCATGGGAAGTCGAAGTTTACCTTGTGAGACAGAGGGGGCCTCGCTCCTTACTTGGGGCTCCTTAGGCCAGCGCCCCGACCGTCTTCGACCCGGCTCCTCGGAGGCAGGCCAGTGCAGCTTCCAGCCTCCCCTTCCTCCTTCCCCTGCCTCCGCGCTGGCCTGCAGGCGACTTCCTGAGCTCGCCCTTCCTATCCATTCACCCGCAGCAGCAGGCGCGGTTCATCGTCGCGTCCACTGCGGGCCGCCAGGGATAACCTTTTTCCGCCTATCCACCAATTTCTCTCTCTCTCTCTCTTTCTCTCGCTGTCCCTTGCCCTCTTCCTATCCTCCTCTCCCTCCCTCGCCACGCTTGTATCCTCCCTCTACCACTGTCTCGTTTTCTCCCCCTTCCCCTCTCCTCCCTCTCCAGCTAACGCCTATCTCGCTTCCTCCTTCCTTCTTTGCCACCCCTTTCACCGAAATGCCAACTCCCAATCTCCTGGACCCCCGCCCCTACCCGTCGCTCTTCCTTTCTGCCCCTCCCAACTTCCTTCGGTACCGTCTTCTTCCCCGTTCCCCTTGTCCCGTCCCGTCCCCGTTTCCATCCTCACCCTCTTAACCATTCCGATAATCCTCCCATTCGCGTTCCCTTTGCTCTTAAGCTTTTGTTGTTTTTTCTTGCCTCTCTAGTCCCTTGGCCTCTAGGTCTTCGTTCGTGTAAATGCATCTCGCTAAGTACTGAATGGTCCAGCCCAGCAGGCCCTGCAGGCGGCCCAGGATGCAAACAGCGAGCGATGGCGGTCGATTCAGACTCCTGCTGGTGTGCAGCCTCCGTTCTCAGGATCCGAAAACGCTTTGGAGGCGATGGCTCGTTGGAGATCACCGCGCTCGGCCGAAGACAGCTCGCCCCCCCCATTCTCGCCCTTCTCATTCGTCCCCTCTTCGCCGTGCCTTTGTTCGGCCGTCCCCTGGCGACGCTTTCCTCGCATGCAGACCTCCCTTCCTCGCACATGCTCTGCGCTAGACTCCTCGGCGCCGGCCCAGGTCTGCTGCAGTGCTTCCGCAAGCGGGCCGCCTCCATCTCCGAGGGGCCTGCGAAGCTGGACCTGAATCGGCACACGGAGGACGGCCCGTCTCCTCCCCATCCTCCTCCTCCTCCTCCTCCTCCTCCCTCCTCCTCCTCCTCTCCTCCCTCCTCCTCCTCCTCCTCCTCTCTCCTCCTCCTCCTCCTCCCCCTCCTCCTCCTCCTCGTCCTCCTCCTCCTCCTCCCTTTCCTCCTCCTCGTCGTCCTCTTCTCCTCCTCCTCCTCCTCCTCCTCCTCCTCCTCCTCCTCCTCCTCCGCGGGGGTCTTAGTGTGACGGGCACGTGCGAGGAGTGCGACGGCGAACACAAGCTCGAGCTCGACGGCGCAGGCGAAGACGGGTCTGAGCACGAAAGCGGAATCCTCACGACAGCGGCGATGCGTATGTTGATGATGCTGGTAATGATGTTGATGCTGCTGATGTTGATGGCGATGCTGGATGCTGATGGCGGCACTGGTGATGTTGACAATGGCGGTGGTGCTGATGGTGGTGATGAGGATGAGGATAAGGATGGTACAGAGGATGATGATGATGAGGATGCTGATGCTGATTATGATGATGATGGTGGTGGTGATGGCGATGATGGCGATGATGACGATGCTGGTGATGATGATGGTGATGATGCCGATGATGATGAACATGATGATGATGCTGATGTTGTTGATGATGGTGATGCTGATGATGATGATGCTGATGAAGATGATGGTGATGATGATGGTGATGATGATGATGGTGATGATGATGATGATGATGATGATGATGATGATAGTGATGAGGAGGACGACAATTACGAATCCGATAGGGAGGATGCTGACGAGGGCAATGTTAAGGACCACGTGTGAGGGTTCTGGTGGTGGCCTTGAACGGGCGGGGGCGGAGCGAGAGTGGGAGCAGCGGGGAGCTGGGAGCGGGGCTGATAGGGGCAGGGAGGAGGTGGATTGGAGGAGGGCATCGCAGGCAGGGGTTGGGGCAGGGGCCGGGGGAGCAGGAGGAGGAGGACGTGGAGGCAGAGGAGGGACGGAAGGCGAGGCGAGGGCGGGCGAGGGAGGGGCGCCTTCTGCAGGAGGACTGGGTCAAGAACGATGAGCTCCTCGGCACGGCGAGCATCACCGACTTCCTGGGCTCGGGCTTCGACGGGGACCGCCCCGCGCGCGCCCCTCGGGGCCCTCTTCCTGGCCCAGGGGCAGTTTCCAGGTTTTTCTACTGCACAGCTGTGTTCTAGAGCTCGGACCTCTTTATTTTCGTTCGTCGTCGTCGTTCGTTCGTCGGTCGTCCTCCCCCCCCCCGACCCCAGAAGGAAACACCTGGAGGAAGGAGGCGAACGCCTCCTGTCCCTCGCAGCTCCTTGGTGCAAGAGCCAGGGCACGCGTACCACTTGTTTTCTGGGTGAGAAGCTGGTCCCGTGGCTCATATCTCCAGGGTTTTACGTTTGAGATGCTTGCCGGCGTTGACCCCAAGCAGTGAGATGGTGCATTGTGGGTGTGCAGGCTGTACAATGTGATCTCTGAGGTGTGACCCATGCGGTCTCAGCTGTGAGGTGCAGGCGATGTGGCGCAATAGGCGTGGCGCAATAGATTGTTGCGTGAGTTGTGCTGTGTAAGCTATGATGTGCAATCGATGTGGTATGAGCTATGTGGTGCAAGCTACGTTGCCCAACCTGTGAGGAGTGTGCTGTGTGGCCAGAGCTATGCGATGCAACATAAGTGGTGTGAGGTACGTGGTGTAAGCGATTATGTGGTGCGAGCTACGACATGGTGAGCTATGAGGTGCAAGCTAAGTGGTATATTATATGCTTTGGGATATGTGCTACGCGGTGTAAACTATGTTGGTGCAGTCTATGTGGTGTGAGCTGTGTTGTGTACGCACCTTGCGCCGACGAGGCAGCCACGGGCGGCAACGTGGCGAAACCTCGCTGGACCCACCCAGCGCACGAGGCGATCAGGAGGCGGCAATGGGCGGCAACGTGGCGAAACCTCGCCAGACCCGACCCCATTTCTCTGTAAGGCAAGTAAGAAACCCCAAGTGCAAGCACTGTTCGAGGAAAAATCGCGAGCGACGCCGGAGATCTGGACCACAGTGGTCTGGCCATCACTGGCTGGTGCGCTCGGGCTGCTTGGGTTGAGCCGCCCGCCCAGCTCCTCAGAGCGTACAACTTGCACAAACTATGGCCGAGGTGATGGGTATCGCACAAACGTGTGTGAGGCAAACGCGCCCCTTCGTTTTATGTCGCTGCATGTTCAAACTCATGGGAAGGATTCATCAGTGTAGCCAATATATAGTACACACTCGAGATCGTAGAGTAACCATGTGATACGACATCTGAGTTTCGGCGCTCCGGCGCCCCCGCCGAGCTCTTAGAGGGCCGACCCCCAGGGCGCACATCGGCACCTGTCCTGTCCTGTCCTGTCCAGGGTCGCTCTTGGCGTGCAGCCGGATCGTCTTGGGGATGCTGGGGTGCGGCGTGTCGGAGGGGGCGGGGAAGACCTGTGGCCCCGGGGGGAGGGCTGAAGTCCTCGTGTTCCGCCGACGTCGGGGATGTAGTTTGCGAGCGCGTGTGTTACGTTCTGTGCTTCTGTCGTTCTTTGGTGGCATGTTCCCCGACCAGCGCTTGCACTGGTTGAGGGACTTTTACTTGGATCGGAGGGAGTTGTGCATGGTCGCTGGGGTTCCAGTTCGTGGCCTGGTACCCTATGTATGGCTGGCGACAGATTGTCAGGTCTCTATTGTGCCTCAGCTGCTGCGAGTTATAGTTATCGCCCTGGTGTGCTATGTTGCCCTATGGGGTGGTGCTCTATGACTGCTTCGCTCTCTCATTTTTCGCCCTGGTGCTCTATGGGCGGTGCTCTACGGCTGTTGCCACATGAGGCCTCAGTGTCTGCGATTTCTCGACCTCGTCCCCTTGCTCTGGGGCTGGTGATCTACGGCTGGGGCTCTATGGCGCCATAACTGTTGCGACGTCCCCAGACATCGGAAGACGTTGTTTTTTCAATGCGCGGCCCCAGAGGTCCCCAGAGATAATCGTTGGTCCCGGATCTGTTTTTGATGACCCCGAGGCCCAGTAACGGGCTCCAGGCCGAAGTCGAGGAAAACCACGTGGACTGAACAAATCGCATGGTTCGTCGGACCCAGATTTCGGGCGTCGCGATTGTTTTGCACCGTGGACCTCCAGAGATTTTGATTTCTTCCCCAGCACTGGCTTCTCCTCCCGAGCTATTTTTTGACGCTCCCGGGGCCCGGCGAGAGCCCCCGCACGCCAGAAATTACCAAGCACCTCCCGTCGTGATTTTTTCTTAGGCGAAATTTCAAGCGTAACCTTAAGTCGGGCTTGTCCGTTCACAGGAGGAGTACTCAAAATTAGTAAAAACAAAAAAAAATGTCGGGGGACCACTTCTGAAGTTGTTTGAATAGTTTTACTATCTTTGACATTTTATTGGCGTCCAAACTCCCCTGTAGGAGGACATGCCCGACCTAAGCGTACAGTGAGGACCCATACCAAGAAACACCTTGCTTGCCTCCAGTGTGCCCTGGGCTTCTTGGGCTTCGATGGTTTTGCGATGGAAAGCGTGAGATCCCCACACCGAAAACCAATGGACGTTCTGGGGTCTCAGGGTTGGGCTTTTTGTGGCACGCTCCCCGTGGCCGAGCCCCCCCACTGTACGGCCTCGCGGGCCTGGCCACTGGGCCGCAAATCCCCAGGACTGCAGGGGCCTTTGTCCGCGGATGCCCCGCGCGGAGCGTGCCCACGCCACCGCGGACCCACGGGACCGCGCCCCCCGGAGGCCAGATGATGGCGAGCGCGTGGAGAGCTGCGGGCCTCGGGACATCTTTTCGATGTGTGCCCCCCACGCCAGAGAGCAGTGGACTTCCTGGGGCCTCCGGGCTGGGTCTCCTGTGGAAGGCTCCTGGTGGACTGGCCTCCACTGTGACCGTTGTCCGGAGGAGATCGAGCGTCGTGGGCCTCGGCGCGCGGTGGGCATGACGATGCATGTCTTCGGGGCGTGCTCCGCTGCGGTAGGCTGTTGTTAAGCCGGGCGCGTCCCTCTACAGGAGGAATGTTGAAAAGTAGTCCAAAAATATTCGCTGCGTGGAGCTCCCCATGTGTGCATCCTTTTTTTCAAACGAAATATAGGATCTGGGATATTTAAACGAGCGTCCAGCCACAACCGGGAGAGTGAACCGTTTCAAGTTCCCTCTCCCGCAGCTAGAGCGTGAGTCTTTTCAAGTTCTCTCCCCCGCCCAAAACGCACGCGGGAGAATGAACCTTCTCAAGTTCCCTCTCCCGCTGACGGCGACAAGATTGGAAAGCAACACGGAGAGAGAAAGCAACATCCCACGATGACACAAACTTTGCGCCAGCAACACCTGGTCACTCCTCCTTGACCGCCGTACGCAACGGGGAGGGCCACTCGTGACACAACGCAAAAGCAGAAAACAGGCAAACCGCTTGAGACATCCCCACAGAAGGGCGACGAATGGAGCCGTGAAAGCACCCTTGGCGGCTCCCCTAGGGGTGCTGAAACCAGCGCCCCGCCTGAGACATCCTCACAATCTGCTCTCCAAGCGAATGATGTTGAGACAGAAAACAAGCAAACCGCTTGAGACATCCCCACGAAACGGTCGCGAACGGGATCGTGTCATACCCCTCGGAGACATCCTCACAATCTGCTTTTCAAGCGAAGGATGTTGGGACAGAAAACAGGCAAACCGCTTGCGACATCCCCACGAAACAGCCGAAAACGGGACCGTGTCATACCTCTTGGCGGCCCCCCTTGGGGGTGCTGGAACCAGCGCCCCGCCTGAGACATCCTCACAATCTGCTGTGTGTTGAGTAAATCAGACAATGAGAAGGTCTGAGTATGAGTAAGTCTGGGTATGAGTCAGTCTCAGCATGAGTAAGTCTGAGTATGAGTAGGTCTGAGTATGAGTAAGTCAATACGATCAGGTCTGAGTATGCGTAAGTCTGTGTATGAGAAAGTCTGTGTATGAGTAAGTCTAGGTATGAGGAGGAGGAGGAGGAGGACGAGGAGGAGGAAGAACAGAAGAGGAAGGAGGAGTAGGAGGCGTCCAAGTAATAACAAGAACCCCAACTTAGGACATGGGAAAATAGTCTGGGGGCGATGTTTCTACTGGTTTGGGCATTTTTTGATTTTTCGTCTAAATCAACCTGTAGAGGGACGTGCTCGACCTAATGGTATGCTCGTGTCGTGTCGACTGGCGGTGACCCCGCCAGCGGCGTTCAACTGTGAACGCCGCGGGCGACCCAGAATCGTTCGATTGGGAACGATTTGGACGTTCCGGAAACGACCGATCGTTCGAGGTTGAGCGATGCCCGCGGTGTCAGAAGCCAACGCCGAAGTCGGTACGACACGAGCCTGACGAGCCTATGATCCGATCTCAGGTTTAGCGTTTGGAGCACTTTCCTGCGAGGCCCTGGGACCAGGGCCTTTCGGAGTTTCACTTGTGTGGGGCCCTGCGAGACAGGGCACGTGCGATTGCTGTCCGCACCTACGTCTGACCCAAGGCTTCAAACATGTTGTGTCGCTGCCCCTGCGACAGTTGGTAGCGGAGCGGTGTCCGCTCCGAGCCAGGGGTGCCTCCCTCGGACGTGCCCGATGGCGTCCGACTGAGGTGCTCGAGGGGAGGGTTTAACTCCGAGAAGCTGACTGGCGCGGTGTCCACGGCAATGGGAGCCTTCGGCGTCAGGATGGTCGGGGGAAGGCGACCTGACCTTGGCAGTGATGACTGGCAACGGGGGATCAGCAGCCTCTCAGGTGTCGCTGGCCTCGGTTGCCCCAGGCCCGACAACAGAGCAGATCACCGAGCTAGTCAAAGGAACCTTACGCGAGACTATCGGCACGACCGTGGCCCGGGGTTTCTCAACATCAGGCACTCAGACAGCATCGCCACAAGAGTTCGACCCCTGGAAGCAGGCAGCAGACGAGTCCAGGCAGCAGCAGCGGAAAGGCGACGACCAGGGTGAGAGTTCGTGGCAATAGACGTACGGCAAGCAGACTAACGACGAGGACGAGTGGTCCTGGTGCGACGAGCCGGGCTGGAGAAGCTAGCAGCAGCACGGATGGGATCGCGACGTTTGGCAGTCAACCTCATGCCCCCAGGGGACCAGGAAGGGCGACTACC